ACTATCAGCTGTGAACTGAGAGCTGGAAAAGAAAAGACCTGCAATCTGTTTTTGAAAAATCAGCCATTGAAAGCTCTATAGAGTACAGTTCTACTTTAACATACATGGGGTCACCATGAGTTGAAATCGCTTCAATGATAATTGGTATAACATATGCCAAATAACCTGCAAGGTCTTTTGGATATACCCACTACCATTGAGTTCATTCTGACTCATAGCGACTCTCATAGGGTTTCCAAGGCTGTAAACCTTTGTAGATTGACTTATCTTCCTACCCCAAAGTGGCTGGGGAGTTTGAACCACTGACCTTCAGGTTAGCAGCCCAATGCCTTCACCATTGTGCCACTAGAGAGCCTTATAATATCCTTTGGATATACAGACAGTCTTAAATCATAGAAAAATAATTATAGTCAATGTACTAAATGTTATAATGAGATATAAAACATACTCTCAAAGCACTTGTTGTTGTTATGTGATGGCAAGTCAGACCCCACTCATAGAGACACCTCCTTGGGTAGATTGCCGAACCTTCCTTCCAAGGAATGGCTGGTGGGTTTGTTGAATATATCATTATTATTTCATGGCTTTTGTTTTTCATAAAAGATACATCTCTGGATTGGATATTAACAAATTCAGGGCTGTAACAATATCTTGTCTTCCTTTAAGGACCCTTCCCCTCCCCACAAAACATAGTGTTTTACGTGTAGTAGGCACTCAGTAATTGTTTAGTTGAGTAAAATATACTTAAAAGAGCATATACACATCACCATTTAAAGATTTAACTTAAAATAATAACTTTTTAAATCATTTTAGAGTGCATACTTATTGTTCAGAATTAGAAAATCAACAGGTATAAAGAATAATTTTTTAAAAAAATAATAAATTACCTATATCTCCATCTCCAAGTAATAACTATGTACATTTTAAAGCATTTCTTTTCAGTCTCTACTTTTGCTTGTTTGAAAAATTACTATTTATACAATCATATTTACCTATAATTTTGCTGTCCACTTTTTTCACTTACTGTATTGTGAACATGTGACATGTCATTAAATAGTATCCATTAGTAGGCAGTTTAATAGGTGCCTAAAATTCCATCATAATAATGTATTATTTAAACATTATGCTATTATTGGACAATTAGTTGTTTACAATGTTTTGTAATTATAAATAATTGCACAGCCACAATCAGTGTCTTGGTACATAACTCTTTGTCACTGTGGGTGATTATTTTGCTAAGAACCAAATTTGGTAAACAGGCAAATATGGAGAATAATATTTGGAGATTTATTAATTACATTGCAAATTCCATTTTTTTTTGCCTTCTAGTTTTTTTTTTTTTTAATTATCAAAAGTCATTATTTCCCATTATAAAAGAAATATGCTTTCTTCAAGAAGACTAAACATTTTCATAGAATTTTAATACTCAGAAAGGCAAATTATTTTATTTAAGTTAACAAAGAGTTATTTTCCACAGTATCTCATGTAGTGCCCTGCACACAGGCAGCTGTTAATAAATGTTTTTTGAAGAAGTAGATAAATAGAATGGATGAAATGCAATAGAATAAATGGAATATAGAAAATGTTAATAAATAAATCTGTTGATGATCATTCCTGTTCAAACACATTAGCTGAATTTCAAATTTTTTTTCATGACATCTTCAGGATCCTCCTTAAAAATTTCTGTGGAATGCCTTATCTTTAACAAACCCTCAAACTATTTTGAAGTCAGTTTCAGTTTTCTGTTGCTGCCCCAAAACTTGGTAGCTTAAAACATCAATTTATTTTCTCTTACAGTTTTGGTGCTTGACAGGCACAGCTCGGTGTTTCTGGCTTAAGGTTTCTCACACAGATGTAGTCAGATGGTGGCTGAGGCTGAAGTCATCTGAAAGCTTCTTCCCTCATGTCTGGTGTCTGGGCTGAGATGGTTGAAATAGATGAGAGCAAATTGTATCTCTCTCTCTCTCTTCATGGACCTCTCCAAATGGTTAGGTTGAGCTTCCTCACAGCATGATAGTCTTAGTGTAATTGGACTTTCACGATGGTGGTTGACTTTTCCTATAGAAAACATTACAAGAGACCTGGGATGAAGCTGTAAATCTTCTTATGACCTCATCTCAGAAGTTACATAGAAATAAATGAGCAAGCTAATGTTCATAAATTCTTAGTGCAATGTCAATACATTACAGTACAGTTAGAGTATGGTAACTAGTAGTAGTAGTATTATAGTTAATATTCTTATAATTATTATAGAGACTTCTCCACATCTCTGTCAGTCTTGTTAGACTTCCACAGCACCAGGATCTCATTTGTTTTCCTCACTTCAACCTTGTTGTTGTGTGCTGTCAAGTCAATTCTGACTCATACCAACCTTGTAGGACAGAGTATAACTTCCCTATAGGGGCTCCAAGACTGTAATTTTTACAGAAAATGGCCACATTTTTCTCTTTGGAGCAGCTAGTGTGTTTGAACTGCTGACCTTTTGGTTAGCAGCCAAGTGCTTAATAGCTGCACCACTAGGGCTCTTTCCCCTCTTCCTTAGCTACTATTTTAATAGCTTGAACATTGATATTGGTGATGCATCATACACTTTCACAAAAATCCTAGACTTTGTCAACTCTAATATTCATATTCTCTACTTCACTCAAGATATACACAAACCAAATTCTCACTCAGAACTACCCACTTCCATAGAGTGAATTCTGACTCATAGTGACCCTGTAGGACAGAGCAGAACCACATGCATAGGGTTTCCAAGGCTACAAATCCTTATGGAAGAAAATTGTCTCATCTTTCTCCCATGGAACAGCTGATAAGTGTGAACTGCTGATCTTTTGGTTAGCAACCAAATGCTTTAACCACTGTACTACCAACCCTCCTCACTCAGAACTAAATTACCTTTAAAAGAAAAAATTCAGTCTAATTTATTACAAATGTTCCTATCTTTACATCTTTCCCCCATAATATACCAGTTTCCTTGACTTCTTTCTTTTAATCTAGTCTGTCAACACTATTCTGGCTTAACCTGACCCTCTGCTCCACTTACACACTAAGGGGACTGCCATCTTTGATGATATGCAAGACTAAATCTACAAACTCCTAGACTTGAAGAAAAGGAGCTCTGAGGGTGTAGTGGTTAAGACATTTGGCTGTTAACTAAAAGGTCTGTGATTTAAACCCATATGCCACTCTGTGGAAGAAAGATGGGACAATCTGCTCCTGTAAAGATTTACAGCCTTGGAAACTCAATGGAGGTTGCTACAAGTCAGAATCTACTTGCTAGTGAGTTTGGTTTTTGGAAACTCGAATGAACCCCACTTTCTCTGGCCCTAGTCATGACTTTTCTAACTTTACTGAGTTTATCAGTTCCACTTCAGAATTATGCTATTCAACCAAACTTGAGCATAAGTATTATTCTGAAACTTTTGTATATCATTCCTCATATTCTTCCTCTTTCATCATGTACCCATTTTCCTCCAGCTCCTAGTCCCATTCTCACTCAGACATCGTTGGTTTTTGTAGTTGATTTCATTTTCTTCTTTAGTGAGAAAATGAGTACCTTCCAAAATTAGTTCTCTCACCTTCCCTTTTTTCCATCTAAGTTTCCAGTGCCTCTAGCCATTGTTTCCTCCTCCATTTCTCTCTTAGAGGAAAGATTGTTAATGCTTGTCATGTCTTTCCACTACATTTTTTGCCCCCAATGCCAACCTTCTGTCATCTTGCTAACAGAATGCTTCCTGTCTTCTAAATCTTTGGTCTCAGTCATCTCCTGCTGGTTCTCATCAATCTTGACAGAAATGCTCATCTCTCATTTAGAAAATAATGCCATTTGCCTCTGCAAGAATTTTAAACTCTTTCTCCACCTCACTGTCCCTTCCTTGTTGAAATTATCTACAAAGACGTTTTCACTAATTTCCTTCTTCTCATCATCACCCATTTTTTTCTTGGCTCTTTATAGCTTCATTTAGCCCTTACTGCTCAGACTCCCTAATTGCCAAATCCAAAGACAACTTACTACAGAAAGACCAATTTAGAAAATAAGAACATTAAATACAAAGAGTGGAATTGTTTTTCATTCATAGTGAAAGCATCATTGCAATGTGAATGTACCAGAAGAATTTCAATAAGAAAATTGACATTACTTTTTAACCACTAAAATGTAAAAACAGCCATACATATCTTTTAAAATATTATTAGAAATTACTATATAAGGAATGCTAACAACACAAAGGTATGTGTCTTCCCAAATCAGATTATGGTTGTTTCTTGAAGTCGACAATCCACAAGCATTATAGATGATTGTCATTATTCTATACCATCATTTCAAGATTAAAGGGAAAATAACATTCTCTGAGCCACCAGCCTCCCACCTTCACCAAATAAGTAAATAATCTAATCATACCTTCCTTTGTGCTCCCCTCAGAACTTTACCCATGACTCACTACTGCATATGTCCTCCCTGTTCTGCACTAACATTGTTTTAGAGGTTTTCATATCTTCCCTATCAGAATTGAAGCTACTTGATCATATATACCACAATGTTTGCATATCGTAGTTTCTCTGAATATGAAAATTAGCCCCATTCACCTATAGCTTTTTAGTAAGAATCGGATACTTTTTATTCCTAATAGTGTTGGCTATTACCTTCTATTGCTGCCTCCGTAAGCTATGATTGATTTAACAGCCATAGTTGATATTGATGTTCATATCCTTTTGTTTAGTTCTAATTATTTTTCTTTTCCTGTACAATATGATACTAATTGATAGTTACCTCCAAGCACAAACTGTTAGGAAAAAAATCAAATTTATAATTAATTTACCTCTAGAAATCATGGAAACCAACTTGTATCCCAAGACTTTTGGCTGTCAATTTTAATTACTAAATATGTATTTCATTACAATGATTAAATAGTGTGATTGAATGCTTATTGGAAATATAATTTCTCTTGGCTCCTCATAATGGTTTTTACTTAACTTTATCCATTATCTTTTGCCTATAGGTCCCCCAGGCCCACCCGGGATAGTGATTGTTGAGGAAATCACCGAAAACACAGCCACACTGTCCTGGAGTCCAGCAGTTGACAACCATAGCCCAGTCTCCTCCTACAACCTCCAGGCTCGCAGTCCCTTCTCCCTAGGCTGGCAAACAGTAAAAACAGGTAAGAGGCTCTAAGGCGACATTGTACACAACAAAAGCAGCTCCCTATCTCATGAGCTATATTTGCTGATGATCTCAGAAGAATCTCACTTGGATTTTAGAAATTCTTAGCTATTTATTACTCTATTCCCCACTGTTTGATTCTTTTTATAAACCAAAGAACAAGCTACCCTGCTTTGCTTTCTTCTCAATTCCCAAAAATGGAGCACATGGTGTTTGTTTGTTTGGAATTACATTACGTTTATATCCAACAAACCAACCAGTTTCTGTGGAATCAAGTCCAACTTATGACAACATCATGTGTGTCAGAGTAGACTTGTGTTCCAAAGAATTTTCAGTGGCAGATTTTTCTGATTTTGATTTTTCAGGAGTAAATATCCAGACCCTTCTACCAAGGTCCCTCTAGATGGACTTGCACCTACAACCTTTCAGTTACCAGCTGAATATTTTAACCATTTCCATTACCCAGGGACTCCACAGATGTTGCAACAATAGTACAAGTTGTTCCAGTGGGTCCATCCTCAAGCTTCTCTGAATAATAACATCTTACATAACCAAAGTATAATTTTCAAACCAGGAAACTGACATTGGCACAATGTTGTTAAATAAACCACAGACTTATTTAGATTTCAACAATTTTCATGTGCTATGTTTTGTTTCAGTTTTGGAGTGAAATTTCATTGCACAGATTCAAGTAACCACAAACACAGGAAAATAAACTTTTGTCAACCCAGAGAGAGTCCCTCATATTACCACTTTATAGCCATACATCTCTTATATTTATAAAAAGAAAATCTAACATAAAATCATGTTATTTAAAACCATGCAGTGACTGTCTCTAAGAGGTTTGCATTATAGTTGCATTATTCAAAAAATTATTTTCTTCCCCAGTGTTTTTTTTTATGTTATAATTACACTTACCCTATCTTTTCAAATGTAGCTGCCCTGTACGATTATGTAAAATTACACTCACTTGATAGTTGTTAAATCCTGATTTAATCTTAGAATTACAATGTTGGCAAAAATACCATGGACTGCCAGATGAATAAAAAAATCTGTTCTCGAAGAGCAGAGATTAGAATACTCCTTAAAAGTAAGAATGGCCAAACTTTGTCTCATCTACTTTGGTCATGTTGTCAGAAGGGGCCAGTCCCTGGAGAGGGATGTTATGGTTGATAAAGGAGAGGGTCAGAAGGGGAAGACCCTCAACAAGGTGGATTGGCACAGTGGCTGAAACAATGGGCCCAAGTGTAGCAAGAATTCTAAAGATGGCATAGTACCAGACATTGGTTCGTTCTGTTGTATATAGAGTCCCTATGAGTTGGAGTTGACTTGAAGGCATCTAACAACAACACAAAAAGTCTATAATATGTAATCTTCAGAAACTGTTGTCCATGCTGAGTAAGGATTTGTGCTTTTGTTTTGTTTCCTATCTCAATATGTAACTGATTTACCTGCTTAGAATTTAAATATAAAATTAAAAAAAATATATTTGAGTGCAATAACCTGAAAATTCATTTAATCAGAATATTATGGGAAGGAAGTAGCTCATTGAGTAAATGAAACTCAAACAGAAACCAATTTTTGTTTAAAAATTTACCGTTCGGAGTCAGAGGAGGAAATACATTTTGCATATAGAACATAGTTAAGATTTTTCTCAATATTTAACTTAACCACATTAAATATAGACCTGTTTGGTGATCATTACAGTGTACTATACATATGTTGTTGTTGTTGTTACGTGCCGTCGAGTCGGACCTGACTCATAGAGACCTCTCCTTGGCTTTCTGAGGCAGTATCACTATGGAAGTAGATTGTCCAACCTTCCTTCCGAGGAATGGCTGGTAGCTGAGGTCCGCCAGCCTCCTGGTTAGCAGTCAAGTGCCTTAGGCACTGTGCTACCAGATTTCCTATTATACATATATACATATTTATTTTGTAATATATAAAACAGTGAGTATTGATTTCATCCTAGGAAGCTCTGGTGGCATAGTGCCTAAGGCATTTGACTGCTACCCAGAAGGCTGGCAGTTCAAACCCACTAACTACTCCTTGGAAGGAAGATTGGTCAATCTATTTTCATAGAGATACCACCTTGGAAAACCAAGGAGGGGTCATAATGAGTTGGGATAGACTCAATGGCAGTGAGTTTGGTTTGGTTTGGTTTTGGTCTCATCCTAGCTCAATTATTGCCTTGTGATATGTCTTTATACTGTAGAAATTGGGGGAGGGGGAACTCTCTGGATGCAGTAGAAAAATCAGGAAAAGGACACAAATTCAAGCTACATGAGCAGGATTACTCAAGAATTCTTATAACTTCCACTCAGTGCCCCATCTTACCTTCAGTGTGGCAGTCCAGACTTTTGCTCTGCTACTAGGAAATAGACTCACCTTCAGATCTGGTATGTATACTCATAAAGCCAAGTCTACTGCTTGCAGCCAAACTCCCTGCCCACTGTTGCCACACTGCCCATACAACTTACTTCATGGGCAGTTATTCTTGTGGGTACAATGCAATTCATACATATGTTTCTTTATTCATCCAATGCCTATTTTCTTTCTTGTTCTTACCTTAAAACATAGTGAGGGATTCCAGAAAACTCATAGTTTCCTAGTTGTACCTATATCCTCATTCCTCATCTGCCTTTTTTTTTTTTCTATTCATCTGCATTTTTTGTGTATATATATATTTATTTATTTATTTACATGTGCATACACACATATACACACAGATCTATATGGAGCTCTGGTGGCCTAGTGCCTAAGGCTTCGACTGCTAACCAGAAGGTTGGCAGAACCAACCTGCTAACCAGCTGCTCTGCAGAAAGAAGATGGGGCAATCTACTTCTGTAAAGATTTACCACCTGGGAAAACCTATGGGGGTCGCTATGAATCAGAATTGACTTAATGGCAGTAGGTCTGCTTTTTGATATCTATTTCCGTAGTGATACCACCTCGGAAACCTAAGGAGGGGTCGCTATGAGTTGGATCTGACTCGATGGCAGATAACAACGACAACAAACACACACACACACACACACACATACATATCTTTGCTGCTATTGTTAGGTATCATTGAGTAAGCTCCAACTCATAGCAACCCTACATACAGTAGAACAAAACACCGCCTGTCCTGCTCCATTCTCACAATCGTTGCTATGTTTGACCCCCTTATTGCAGCCACTGTGTCAGTCCATCTCATTGACTGTGTTCCTCTTTTTTACTGACCCTCTGTTTTCCAAGCTAACATTCTCCTCCAGAGACTGTTTCCTCCTGATGACACTTCCAAAGTGCAGGGGACAGAATCTCTCCATCTTCCCTTCTAAGGAGCATTCCAGCTGTTCTTCTTCCAGGACAGGTTTGTTCACTCTTCCAGCAGTCCATAATATATTCAAGAATCTTTGCCAACACTCTAATTCGAAGGTATCAATTCTTCTTCAATTTTCCTTATTCATTATCCAGGTTTCCCATGTATATGAAGCAACTGAAAATACTATAGTTTGGGTCAGATACCCTTTGGTCCTCAAAATGACATCTTCACTTTGTAAAACTTTAGAGGTCTTTTGCCCAGTGTAATACTCTGTTTGATCTCTTGACAACTACTTTCTTGAGTGTTGATTTGTAGATTCAAGTAAAATGAAATCCTTGACCACTTCAATGTTTTCTCCATTTACCAGGATGTTGCTTATTGATACAGTTGTGAG